GTGGAGGTTCGACGTTTGAAAATCCCGAAGGACGGAGCACGTGTCCATTGTCAGCATGTTCCAGGGATTAGAGGAAATTTTAGGTGAAGGCGGTTTAGTGGCTCGACGGGTGAGCGTCGCGACGCGCAGGGACCGGAAGTTGCCTGCTGGCCGTGGATGCCTTTTCTTGCGACCGGAGCAAAGTCAGTTCCTTTCGATCGAGTCACTCGGTTTCCCCTTAGTGTCGCTCTTCGCTATTTAATTATCGCGAATCGAATGTCTATCGTGTCTCGTGGGAGCGTCGGAGCCAGGTTACAGGCACGACGCATTTACTCATCCAAGAGTCGCCCCAACGAGCACCGGAGCGACAATCGGGAGTGATAGCGAGCGCGATATCTATACTCGACACCTACACGGCTTTGCGTCCGATACACGCGATTCTGTCCTTCTGCCACGGAGATAACGTGCCCCGGTGGGACTGCGGAAGAGCTTTGACCGGTGACTCTCTTCGTCTTTCCCTCACGTAATTTCTTCCTTTCAGAGCCAAAGAGGAGGCGGTTTCATCCTCTTCGAGGATTGCGCAAGATCTTCAGACGGAAGAGCAGAGGCGCCGCGGACGCGGGACACGGCTCGGGAAGCAGGGAGACCTGCGAGGTCCTGTCGCCCTGCGACCGGGAGGAAGTCACCGTGAGGCATCCAGCAGGAGGACCCGAGGATGTTCGCAGCAGAAGCGCCAGCGAATTGCTCAGGGATTCCTGCGACAGAGAGAGGTGCGTTTCCGTTGTGGCATATTTCTCCTTCGCTTCCACCTTTCGGTTCCCGTCTTCCCCTCTTCTTTTCTTCTTCCTCACTCACGACTGTTCTTCTTCCAGTAGGCAACCGATCGGCTGGCCGAGAAAATACAAAGTAGCGACGTCGCTGAACACCCATAAGTCGTTCAAACAGTAAATATTAACGATTTCTTTACGCAGCTCACCCGTGCTCGTCCATCTTCTTCGTTCCATCTAATCATCGCCCGTCCATCAGCTCGCTTGAAAAGCCGCCTTGACTCTTACCTGCAATATCTGGTCACTCGTGACGAGACATGAGCTTGCATTTTTTGTTGCGTCCCTCAATGGTTTAATCTCCCTCGCAGCATCCGCTTACGTATCTTTTCCTCTTTGCAGCGTCTTCATACGAAGAAGCGGAGTCGAGGAATCGTTCGCGAAGCTTCGCGGGGGCGCTGGACAGCTCTCGGTTTCTCATGACAGCGTCTTTCCTGGAGAAGTCCCGCACACGCGGCCACTGTCGTCCCTGGATCCTCTGGTCACGCTGGAGGTGGGCCATCGGGAACCGTTTTACCTTTAAATAATTCATAAGGTCCCGTTCTAAGAGCAAATCCACCAACGTCCTACGGCTGACGATCGAACGACTAACGCGCGGGTTACCGAAGAAGGTGACCTCCTGTGACTTCGACTGATGTAACGAGAAGCTTCGCGAGTCATTCGGGACACGTGCGAGGCGTCTTCTACGTAGATACACATGTCGTGCGTCAGCTCGTGACTCGACTACCAAATGCTTTGAGCAATTGCCCTGCCAGTCTGTGAGATTAGCGTTAACTCATGCGGATATTGACAGGCAGCACATTATAGGACAACTGTACTTCGATAAGGACTGGCTTCAAATTGAAGTAAATAACGAGAGCGAGAATAGGGATGGCAGGAATGATTTTCCATTGCGATCTTACGACTCGGCACTTGTCGAACACGAGAGGCGAATCGTCTCGCGACTGTTCGTGACTCCTCGTGAACTCTTGACATGTCAGCTCTAACCAAACGATCGACTTACTTTGCTATTTTTGTTTCAGCGGAGGCAAGGAAAGACCACGGAGGCAGAAAGGAAGGAATTGAGTTCACAGGTCGCCCAAAGGCATCGGATATCCCTTCGGGTACGTCAGGTTTGAGACGAAGGTCCAAACCTTCATGATTTCAAGTGAAATTATTCTCTCTTCGTAGGTACTCGAGCAGATAAAGACTGTCATAGAGAATCGAAACCAGGTGACTTCTACTGCAACGGAGAATCATATTTCGCACGTGAGTGTACATTAATTGCCGTTACGAGAACAAAATATTTCTTGGTACTAATTCCTTTCGATCGCACGTTAATGATCTGCTTCTGACATCACTATTACTTTTGCTTCACAGAATAAAGAGGAGAGCTATCAGCAGGAAGCCACAGAGGTAAGATAGCGCAGAGCTTTATTCCCTGTTTCTAGTTTGATACGAACTTTGAAACAGCGCGGCTGTGCTTTTGTCTTACTACGCGCCTCTCTTCATTTATATCTTTACTCTCGTTTTCTCGATCCTTTTGAATTTCAAAGTGCCGCGAGTGACATTGATTATCGGATAAATGGGGGTACGTCAGTCACCTCCCAGAACTTCCACAAGACAGTCCCGTGACGTTCCGCGGCTTTGCGGATCCTTTGATCACCTTATCCTCGTCTCAACTAACCTTATCGAATTAATTTTTCATAATATCGATAGACCTCATAATTCGCCAGCGACATTGAATTGTCCTTGTGTTGCTTTCAGAATATTCTTCATAGACTGGGGAAGAACGAAAGGAGCTTCAAGGAAAGTCAAATCAAGGTGAGTGCACTTTTCTTCCTAATTTCGATGCATCCAGCCCATCTTACGTAATTCATTTATCGTTCACCGAGGAATCCTCCTGCCATTCTTTTCCTCTTATCCGTAAAACAAAGTGAGGCGTCTCGACTCCACCGCCCGCTAAGGGTCAGCAGTATCGAAGAAGGAGCGTTCCGAGAACGGACCGCGTGAGAGATGCAGCCGTGAAATGGAACTACCGTTACTTGGCCCCCGCAATGTCTCGAAACGTCAAATACCAACAGTGAGCCTACCTGTTTACCTGCCTATATAGTTGGATGCCCTACTACCTCTGTCCATTCTCATCTCTCTTCCCACCCCCCTCTCCCCCTCCCCCCCACGCTTTCCACCATCCTCATAATGGCGACGTCAGCTAAATCCTCTTAGCAGCGACACAGGCGCTTCAACTTGAATAGCGGTTAGCGCGAGAAACACGTGTCTACCGATTCTCGACGACGTCGGTAAGGAAGATCGGCCGTAGCGGAGAATTTGCTTTGCAGACGAGACACGCGCGCGACAGAGGGTAACTGTGCTGCAGAGCTCATACGAACATGCCGATAACTGCGTTACACTTTTTCGGAAATTAACAAAAGGAGAGAGTGACGTCAAAAGGCAGAGCGGAAGAAGGAAAAAGCATAGGGACAAAAGATGGGTGAGACGAGGGCAAGATGAAGGAATCGAATTGAGGAAACACGTGGCTGGAGTAAGAGCCAAAAAAAGGACAGGAATGGAAAGGGAAAAGGGAAAGAGACACGTAGAGTTTATGCATCGACACAGAGACAAAAGTTATGGAGGAAAGAAGCGGCTGTAACAATTTCCATAGGGCTCCTTCGTGCTTGCGATTTTAATGTCCACATAAAAATAGGAGCGATTCGCGGTTTTGGGTCAATCTTTACGACACTTACTGTTCGCGGCGGTTGCAATGACTTTCGTTGTTCGTGTTACGTAAAGCATTATCAAGTCGGGCAAAACTCCTGGGTTCCTCGACTCCGTTAAACTGTGGAAACGTCTTGTGTAAGAACTAGAAAACGGTCGGATCAGCCGTTTTTCGTAGTCTCGACTCTGAGCAGCCCAAAAGCCTCCAGACTCGTTATCTCCTGTTCAAGGCGCGAGGCACCCGTGACTCCTCCGCTCCTCGCTATTCTCCGATTTATTGCTCTGACGCTTTTTCGAGTTCCCAAGGGTAAAGGGAGTACAAGGGGGCAAGGAGGGGGGGGGGGGGGCGACGGAGACAGAGAGATCGAGTCTCCAGCATCGACTCAGCTGGCAGGTTAACCGGCACCGTTCGCTCTTTCGCTCTTTCTCGCGTTCGCATTATATCGGTCAAAGATCGGGTCATTGACTGCGTCGGCCGTGTTTTCTAGGATCCTCCGGGGCGATATTCAAAGCTGTGTGTAATAAACGCTCGAATCGACGGACAGAAACTCTCGCGTTTCTTTTGCCTGAACGACCGGTGGTTGCTTGCGCAACGCGCCTGCCGCCCCTCCCTCCCTGTTAAATTAACTTCCGAAACTTCCCCCCTCGTTACGAGCGGGACAATTTCTCTGGCATAAATTGCCAAGGCTTTCAAATTTACATCGGATTCTTCGCGCGATTTAGCGTGACTTTCGATTTGCACTTTCCTTTTGACAGGGCGAGTTGTCGTCCATTCCAAAAATTCAACGGCCTCCGTCTACGACTCGAGCCATCCAGCTGAAATTTCCGTCCAATCCTTCGAGACTGGGTCGGCAAGCCAGTAGGTCGCTTTGCTGACATTTGACTGACATTTATTGAGCTCGACACTGATCCCCGTAACTCTGACTGCCAGTCAGAGCCCTTTGATCAATTAATTTCCACCGACTCCAACTCATGTTCTGTCTCTGGAATATCCTTCCGAGACTTGAGGATTTGCAGGCTGCGGTCTGTGGCCGAACGAGTGACTCGCAATCAGTCGATTCTCGCTCGTACGTAACGCGCCCGCTCGCCGGAGCAGGGTCTCGATAGTGCACCGCTTCGGGCGACTCTCCGGGCCAACGGCGCCGGAGCCCACGTTTCGCTATTGTCAGTGACATAATCAGTGTCACTTACGTAATCAGGGAACGAGCGGCAGCCACGAGCCAATCGGATCTTACAGTCTTCCATAGTCCAATTTAACATCGGAACCTTATAAAAGTCTACGAGGCAGCCGAGCAATGAGCTGTGCGACTCTCGTAAAAGTCAGCGGCTCCTCTACAGCAGATCCGCGGGGTCCGGGCAGTGAGTCAAGGTGGGTGCAGCAACATTGGAGAAAATACATGAACAGCTGGCAAGCAGCGGAATCCTGGGACGCCGTTATTCAAAATATTACGCCACGCTAGGATTCCTTCCTGCGCAAACTCGCAATTCCGCAAATCCATAAATCGCGGCTCCGAGCCTCTTCTTGCCAATCGCCTTCTCCGACGTTTACTGGCTCCTCTGGCTCAACTGACTTCACTGGGTTCCCCGGGAGCGAACCGGCCATCCTTTCCTCCAGCAGCCAGCATCGCGGCGATCCGTGCGAGCGTGCACACCTCACGATTGGCCGCAGTTGCCGACAGTTGCCGACACAGTTGGCCAAGACACAGTCGCCGGCCCAACTGCAGAGTCAGTCTGCGCCTCGCGGTCCGCGCTTCAGCATCGGCCTGTCGAGTCACGACGCGATTTGCCTGGCCACGAATATTCCTGCGAGTGGGACTTGTTGTCGTTCGATGTGCACGTAAAGGAAGCTCGGATGGAAATTGGGCCACGCGCAGGACGCTACGCGAGGCTGGATATATTTACGTGGGACCCAATCGGATCCGATCGATCGATCGAAAGACTCGCGCTACTTTTTCTCTTGTCTCGGGAGTGAACAAAAGTTGAGAAACTTGGAAGAACTCGAAACACAGTGACATGGAGTAACGCGAGGACGGGATAGACTGATAGAAGAAGGAATTGTCACACGAAGGACTATCGGGCGGGGGAGGCAGGAGGAACCGGAAGTAGAGCTCACTTCCATCTCGAATGACTCCTTCCTCGTGTCTCGCGTCTCATCTCTCCTCTTACCTTCTACCTCCTGGCTCCTGTTCCAGCCCCCGACTGTCTAACAATTCCGCGGAAACGCGTGGCCAGCCCGCCGTGCCAGGTCCCGTAGACCCTCGGGCGGCCAGATTCCTTCCTTCTCCCTTAATAATCGTTAATGATCGCCCCGGGATTTCGACGGGCGCCAGCGAGCCGATTACGGGGACAGCAGAGGCGTCGAAAAATGGCCTTTGAATCGAGGGAGACCTAAATCGCCCAAAACGCCCGGCAAAGTAATAGCCAATAATGCAATCCAGCATCTGTTATGGTCAGCCCGTTACGTTAGCGCTTCCACGTTTTTGCCTGGTAGAATAATTGTTCGTGGGCCGGATGTCCGCACAACGGAAGTTACGGTGTCTAGAGCGGTTTGATCGATATTGTGGCCTGTCGAGCGGGTCTGCTACCAGAGAGACAGTCTTTTCAGCCGCAGCACAGTCGGCCGAAGGCTCGCAGCACCTTTCGCTCTGCGTCCGCGGTTGAGGCCAAGTAGAGCCTGGCTGTTTTGCAATTTCCGGCACTCGCTGCCGGCTCGGCTAGGCACGCCGAGCGAAGGTGCGAAGGTTGCCGATCGGTCTATGGAAAAGGGGAACGAGTTCAGTCGTGGGCGATTCGCGTGGGTCGTGCAGCAGAATCCTTTAGCTTGGCGAGTCGCGCGATCGAAAATCCCTCGTGCTGCGGGAAGAAGAGAAGGTGCGGGACGCGAATGTGATCGGCAGTGCGGCAGTGCGAGTGTCTCTGGAAATTGGCGACTCCTGCCTCCCAGGCTGGGAGGCTTCGATCTCTTTCCGTCCGAGAGGCTCCCACGTCGCGACGCTGCCTTTCGTCCTCGTAGGAATCCAGTTTGACTTTTGACCCTTGACTCCGGTTGAACGAAAGTTCAAAACGCACTCGCGGCTCGCGAGCGCTGGCGCGGAGCGCGGAAGGACGCGCGTGGGAAGCGTCGGAGGAAAAGGAAAAGTTCGAGGAAGGAGGAAAGGAGGGTGAGATCCAAAGCACAGTCGACTAAGGAGGACTCCGTGAAATCCTGAGAAAAAGGCGAAGCGTCGCCTTAATTAACCGAAAGTCCAATCAGGCGCGCCTGACTCTATCAGTTGGTCGTGAAGTTCCGAAGAAAGATGGTCGTGTCCCACCGGGAGCCGAGCATCTCCTCGAACATACGTGCCATCATCGAGCAGCTCAACCTGAATCCCGTGGAGCGCAGGAAGTACGTCAGTAAGAAAACTCAGAGTCAGGAGAATCGTCGATGTAAAGGCGTCAATAACGTCAATAACGTCAATAACGTCAATAAAGTCAATAACGTCAATAACGTGAACAATGTCAATAACGTGACGAGAGTGAGCATTGGAGTGTACGGCTGCGAAACTGTCGAGTACGACGTTTACGCCAGCACGAAACGCAGCATCGAAAGTCAGAATGCGAAGCAGAGAGCAAACTCGAGGCAAAGGTTGCCCGCAGCGGAGCGACTGTCGACGGACGTCGAAACGCAGAAACGCACGCAGCGAGCGGTGCAGCATATCGAGCGCACCGAGCGCACCGAGCGCACCGAGCGCACCGAGAACAAGGTAACTCCATGGAGGACTGGCTCAAAATCGTCATTGGGGAATCGACGAGTTCAGCTCGGCCGTTCGAGTGTCGTATAGTGGAACTCCTGGTGGAAGATCGACTTTGATCCTCTATTAGGAAGATCTCGTAAGGTCCGGAGAAGTGCCTTGGAACTAGCTTGTCGGCTACCTGTAACCGGTTTTCCCGATCGCGGTTAAGTGCCCGCACTTTGAGAGTTAACGGTACCAGCTAGAACTCGCGAGTCGTAGACTTTGTTGCCGAGTGTCGAAGCCCTCCTCTCGCAGCTCTTAAGATTCTCTGTTCCTTGGTACTCTGGAGGCTGCCAGACTCTCGTAATCAGGCGCGCGTCGTTCGAGAGGTCCGACTGTCGAGTCGTCGCTCGACGGAAGCGTCGCGGAATATCCGCCTGTCAAATATAATTTTTCCCCCGAATTCTGAACTCCCGTTATCTATGGATTTCTCTTTTATCTGCAGATCACGCAGGGCGCGCAGGTCCAGCAGGTCCAGCAGGTCGCGGAACCGCTACAGCCAACTAGACCTTCCAAGGATGGTCCAGAGCGAACGGTCTCACCGGTCAAGGAAGACTTGCGTACGTCCACTGTAATTATGCACGGAGAAAAATATCAGTTTCAGTTTCGAGCAGGAGAAAAAGCAAAATTTGAGCAGTGATTTCCACAATTTGTGTAGAACAGTATGATTATATATGTTTTAATTAATTCACATGCCGAGAAATATAGACAGTCATGCATAATGCATAAAGTAAAAGATTCCTGGATCCTTGCGAAAGACTATGGTACATGTCCACCGAAACGTATTTTTTCTCAGTGCGCGTTTTCGAAAATCCTAAATTGTCCGAATTTAATGAATTTTTGTATTTCCGAGCAGCGCGACTGGAAAGTGCCAGTCTCAACCACACGGCAGCCTTGCATCGAATTTCCGTACGGCCAAAGAACAGACGGCCTCCAAGACCACGACGAACCATCTCGCTGGACGTCGCGACGCCCTCGAACGACGCTGCCACCAGCACCGAGGAAGCGTCCGACAACCTCGACAGTCTGGAGCCGGCCGGTAGCAGCAACACGGGCTCCCCCGTAGAGTCGAAGAATGTCTCGATTCTTCGTAAATCCTCGAGCAGGTTGTCGCGGAGCTCCGACATCTTCGAGGAGCTCGAGGGGAAGTTACCGCGGAAGGCGCCGAGTGCCGTCTCCCTGTCGCCGGATAGTCTGGACGCTTCGGTCGCTTCCAAGACGAGCGAGAGGAGCGAGCACGAGGAGAGGCCAGCCGAGACGAGTAGGCCGGTCACGAGGAGAGCCTCGAATCGCGTCTCCCAAGGCCCGGATATCCTTGAAGAACTGGAGGCCAAGTTACCAAGGAGGCACTCCTCTTCGAAAAGCCTCTCCAAGTCGCCGGACAGTCTCGAGAGCTCCTGGTTCTCAAAATCGAGCGAAGCTTTCGAGAAACTCGAGGAGGACACCGAGGATCTATCGAAGCCAGTGGCCCTCGTTAAATTGAGACAATCGATTCCGTACTCAAAGTCGATCGATCGAGTTTCCAAATCGTCCGACAGTCTCGAAATGATCGACGCGCTCAGCAACGACGACTCCGTCGAGCGGAGGCGCAGTGGTTTTGAATTTAGGGCTCGCAGGCAAGCGAAAGTCATGTCCAAGTCTTCCGAGAGTTTCGAAGCTTTGGAGAAGATCGAAAGAGAGTCGCCGGTAAGTGAACTCGAGAAGAGGAGCAGTGCTTCCGATCTGAATTTATCTCGGCCGAGGCGACACAGCAGCAAGATATCCTTTGCCTCTTCGGGTGACCTTGAAAAGCCCGAGGAGACGGTTGGGGTCAGGCCCGAATCGGTTCGCTCCAGCGTCGATCTTCTTAAGAGCAGCCGAAGGCCCTACAAAAGGACAACAGCTTCCTCGGAAAGCTCGGACAATCTTGAGATTGAACAGGACGATGAGCTTGAGAATCGCAGACCTAGGAGAATGGCCAAAAGAATTTCCAGTGGCAGTATCGTCGACATTCGGCACGCTGAGAAAAGTCCTACCGAGACGGAAAGAAGAGCCGCGCCGCTGAGGAAGCCTTCGAGACTGGAGAAATCCTCCGAGAGCTCGGAGCTAGGAAGTACCGACACCTTGGATTCGGAGAAGAGGAACAAGTCGTCGGGCAGCACCGAGACTCTCGACAGTCTCGAGAAGGATCTCGAGCTGGACAGACGAGAGGAGGAAGTAACGGACAGTGTCTTGGAGAAACGCGAGAAAAACGTAAGAATCCCTTTTCTTTATTCTCGTCGCTCTCATCCTCGCTGTGCCTCGAAATAAGAATTCTAGCATCCGTGTGGCTTCTATCATCTAGCTTTAAACTTTTTAACGCAATGCTTACGAGACTTACTCAATCTTACAGAGATTGCCAATTTTGGAGCTTTGCGTTTGCTTGCTTATGGCTAATTGCTTTATCCGTAGGAGGCCTGGTCGCTTAGAACAGCGGATGCCGCAGATATTGAAAGCTCAGAAGATGCAAAGCAGCCTCTCATCTCGGAGAAATCCTACTGGAGACAGTCGAACGACTCGAAGGAGAACATGGACATCCATCAACTGCTGGCCATAACGATAGTCACGCGGATGGCCGACAACGGGAATCATCAGCGAGGCTCCGTAATGTTTCCAAAGAGGAAACTCTCGTCGCCACCGACCTCCCCTGAAAAGCAGGAAGACAACAAACTCCTCTTTCACAACCTCCTCGCTAGCAAGAACGACGAGGACCTGCAGAATATGCTCAATGGAAACATATCGGAGGTCTCTACGGATACGAAAAGCTTCAAAGAAAAGCTTATTATGTTCGAGAAGCTTGGCAAATGAACTCATCCCCCCCCCCAACTCTGCCTCTAATTTGCTCTCATCCTTTCCCCCCTTTTCCTACCACTTCTCTTCTCCGTTTCTCTATCTGCATTTTTTTTTCTTTCATTTTTATCTTCTCTCTTGACGCATTCAATTGTTTGTGTCTGCTGTTTGTTTGCCTGTAATGTAAGTCATAAGCGATGCTCGCCAGCGCCATTTTGTTATGGAACGGATCGTGTTCGGAGCATTCGAATGTTTCAGTGACGACGTAACGAATGCTCATTAAATAGACGAAACACTGTTTCCGGAAGGGAGTAATGTTAGAGCCAAGAAAATTATTATCCATGTGGAGCATGGAAAAATCCACGTGCACCGCTAAGCGGAGTGATCAGCCATCAGTGCAGCAACAGTTTTATAAGGAGTCTCCTCGACCCTCTTACTTTAACATTTCCATTTGATTAATCGATTATCCTTAATAAATCTCTCCTCCCTTCTCGGAGCTTCGTTCCACCTGATCGTTTCCTCGTGCCTCTCTCAATGAATATTTCCTAGTAAACATTCACCACAGACTTGCAGCCTGTAGCATTAGCGAGTTGACTCTCGGGACGCACGACGTTACAATCTCACTTCTTGCACGGTTCGATAAGAGTCTAGACTCTGGAGCATAGTATTACTTTAATCTTAAGAATATCTTTGTTGTACAGTATGATAGAATCGATCCAGGGATCGAAACCAATAATCCTTGTGTGTACACATTATATCAGTATGTAAAAATTAAAAAGGAATGCAATTATTGTCGCGAGTCGCCTTCCCGATCACGTGAATCGGCCTATGAAGGAAATGGGTAATTTGGCTCGCGGGTGACGCAGCCCTTATTTATTTCATTTTTGAGCCCTTCGAGTGCCTTAGCAAAGATAGCGTGAACTGAAGTGAATTTATTGCATTAGGGATCTTCGGCTACCTGCCGCTAGTCCATCTTGGCCAATTCAGAGACTCCTGCACGTTCTAGAGTCTCTTAACACGCGACGCAGGCCTCCAATCAGCTTCCAATGTATACGTAGCCTTTTTAGAATACAAATATATTAGAGATAAAAGTGTCAAACACGTTTAACAGTTGGAGATCCGTATGAGGGATTACGCGCAATATGTAAATAAAGTTGCCACCATTACACAGTTCAACAAAAGTGTTCAATTTATTTTTCCGCACCCAATTGCACATGCGACCATGGCCACGTGCCTCTACAAAATTACAAAATATTCATTATTATATTTGTACGTTCCTATCGGACAAACCATTGGAACGTCTAGGCTTGTGCCTTTTTATTTTGAATGTCCGATGTGACTTGACAAGTGCAAAATAGCCAAGAGTGGAGATGTTCGTTCGTTCATGCATTCATCGCTTGTTGCTTACGTTTCGCACAATTAGTTATCTCTGATTGGCAATGAAAAAGAGGAAAGGTACATTGTTGCCACTTATTGCCGCCAAGGAATGAGAAATGTAATGGCTTTTCCGCAGTTAAGAGAGACCGAATACGAATAACTTTGAACCGCGTGGATATTTACTCTTAATAATTCAGTCTCAATAACCCAATACAATTTACAAATAGCAATAAGCAAGCAATTGTGATTCAGTTGCGTGTTAATACTGTCATTGTGTTCGTGGCAATTACAGTGTTGAACCAGGAAACTAATAAATTTTTTCTCAAAGTACACGTATCCTATCAACCAATCAGAGGCATAATTATGGACATAAATTGATTATGCATTGATATTATAACACTGTGATAATTTCAAGGATGAAATGTGACGGAATATTTCTTACTGAAAATGGTGTGACTTTTTCTGCAATTCTTAGTGGAAAGAAACGAAGGAACGAAGAAGGAATACAGTTGATATCATTGGTGTCATCGAATATTTATCCTTGAAAGTGCGAGTTCCCGATTTTTGATACGTTTTTCTTTGCGTTTAAAAATAAGCGAATCATGATGGAATCTAAAATTTGTAGATTTAAAGTTCGTCGTGCATATTGCTTTGTTCAATATTTGGGTTACACATTGCCGGTGTTGAGAATTCCATAGCGTATTCGCAACGACTTGGTTCTGTTACCGAAATTAATTTACTTTCCTTCCCACAAGTTAAGGTGATGATAGCAGAACGTGTGGGTCCGTTCCAGCATGCCAGTCCTCTATCATACTTCATTTTCGAATATTTATTTTGTTCAGGTCCAACCCATTCATGCCAGTAGCCTAGGACGATGTCGTTGCCGCCCGATTTGGATTTCTGACGTACTTTATCAAAGAGGCAGAGCGAGTATACATACTCAGAATCGGTAAACTCGAAACATTCGCCATCTAGAGACGCAAACTCTTCCTCAGCACCGTAATCTCTATCAATCTTGTCTTCGAGTCTTCTGATTTCAGCCTCTAGATCATGGATTGCTTTCTCTGCCTGCTTGAAATTTTCCCTTGCACTATTTGCTTCATCTACAAGAGCTTGTGTTTCTTCATCATACTGAACTTGCTGTTCCTCTGGCTGAGCTTCATGCTCATCTACAGCTTGTTCTTCTGCTTCTGTGTATTCATCCTCTTCCTTATCATGTTCCTCAGTACCATCCTGCATGCCCTCAACATCGTCTGCAGGGGCTGGTTTGAATGTTCCTAGAATAATATACATATTGTTATAAGTCATATTGGATATGCTAAATAATAAAAGATATTAAATTTTTTACTAACCTTGCTCTAGCATCAGGAATGGTTTAATATTTGCCCATGCAGCATCGAGGAACTCATCCAGTGTAACTTCCTTTTGGCCATTTAAGAAATAGATAGCTTCTTCTTCCGATACAACACCATCTCTATTCTTGTCAAAGGTAGCTCTCGTCTGTATTTCAATAATGGTAATAGAGCCACTCGAATCAGAATCTAACATTTTAAAATAATCTTCAGCCTCCGAATCACTGAGTTGCTCTTCTTCATTATCTTCATGTTCTTTGGGCTCTGGCTGTTCTGCTTCGACAGGCTTGTACTTTTCCAGAGCAGCGTTCTCTCGTTCCTCTGCCTGTGCTTTAATAGCTTCCTTTTCTTTCTTAGTAAGCTGGGCTTCCTCAAAATCACCACGAATCTTCACAAGGCGTGTCTTGATTTCACTCTTAATTTGTTTTCCTCTTGCTAAGAGTTCCTGACGAATCTTGTTACCTTCGCGAGCCAACTCGGCTGCCTTTTGTGCCTCCAGTCTAGCCTCGCGTCCCAGATCATGGCAGTTGTCAACACACGCTTTTCCCGAGGCGTATTCATCGCTGCCATCGCAGCAATCGCAAATTTCGTCGTTGACCCAGCTCGACGGAATGTAAGCTGCTCGGTGACCAGCATTTCTACAATAAAACGACCCGTTGGTGCAAGCTGCAGTTCCCGGCTCGTCACTCCCATCAGCACAGTCACAATAATCATCGTTAACTCGGCTAAATGGCAAAAGTAAGCTCCCGTCGAGGCATTCGAAGTCTCGGTCAGGAGAATAAAAGGGATTCTTCGATGTGGGTATCCCACGAATGTGAACGACTTGTGAACCGGCTACGTGGCTCTGGCCGGAAGAGAAAGAAGCCGCTACGAGCATCAAATATATGAAAAAGTCGTTCATTTTAGAATTAGCTTAGATACAAATTCCTAAATGAATAGTATTTTGAATAATTTTTGAATTCACGTTGCTCCTAACGATGAATTTCAGCACACTTTAGCATCGCGTGTCACCACGACACAACGCACACGATTGCGATAAAAGGCGACTGACTCCCAAACTCACCGTCGCTTGCGTACGTACACACTACGATATTTCTAATATTCTTGGCGTTTAGGCAGTAGAGTTCACAGTTCGCAGTCTACACCCTGAATAATCAGAACTTCAGTCAGGACTAGTCAAGCACAGCCTTGCGGTATCAGCGATATCAGCAGTAGAATGATTAGCTATGCGAGCGGCCACTGTACATACATGCATTCGCCGCGTAATCGCTATTAAGTATTTATGATCATCGTGATTATAATAAACTTACAGTATCTGAATATATGATTATAAAAAATAATGAACAGGTTAATGATTCTATAAAAATACGAAATAGGATACGTAAATGTAGTAAGATATTAGACTTTTATACTATTTGCGCGTGGTTTTACTGCATTACTGACGAATATTGGATACTTTTATATTTCATTATTCTATATATGATTGGTCGTTCAAATAAAGTACAATGGAAATAGGAACGAATAGTGAGATAAGTTTTGAACTAATTTCTCACACTATTTAGGAATTCTCTTCGTGATTGGTGGATGCGCAACGTTCAATGTTCATGACGTTCTTCGTGGAGCCGGCTTAAGGAATACTAGTCTACAATCTGTGATCTTGTGGTGAAGCTGCTTGCTTGACGGAAAATACGTCCAAGCTCGTTACACTTAACCTTGCTAAATGAAAAATGAATAGATTAAAATCTTTCAGTTATTTATCCGTCAGGGCATATGGTGTTAAGAAACGTCACAGATTGAATCCCGGTGTTCATACTAGATTGTCTGCAATTACTCAATCTGATGAGCAAGAGCAACTTGAATTTCTTGAAGATCCAGAAAATCTGGATGATCTGGAAACAGATTTTATGCAGGTGAATAAGTCGCACAAAGAGCATGAAAGGTATGTACGATTAGAGATCTATAATTTATAAGGTAAAATGAAATACTTAAAAATATGTCATCGCTTTGTGCTACAGAGAATTGAAAAGAAACAAGGAAAGACTCAAGTTAAACATTACAGCACGTAAATATATCAACGAGAAACAACCATCGTTCTTAACAACTGGAGAGAAACAGCAGATTCGTATATTACATGAACAAGATCCTGTAGAATGGACACCTGAAAAATTGAGCGATAGTTTTCCAGCTTTACCAGAGACTATAAAAAAAGTATTAAGGGCAAAATGGTATCCAAAGACACCAGAAAAGGTATTGGAGTATGACAAAAATGTTGCAGACAACTGGAGTAAATATAAAGATGGCTTACTGATGTTAGACTCGAGATTAGAAACACATTTATCCAGATTTAAAGACAGAAAAATTCTTATGACAAATAGAGAAGAAATTGCCACACATTTGGTTGCTCCATCCCCAAATATTCCAAAACCAAAGAGTACATTATTTTCAAACATCATTAAAAATTATTTGGATGCACATTCGGTAGAGAACAATAAGAAAGTGGCTGTTATAGAGAACCAAGCTGAGACAAAAAGACATAGGAATGAAAATGATAACGCTATCAATAATTCCGTTGATAATGAAAGTTCATTATCCAATAGCGAAGAACACAATGTCATAACACTTGATGATTATCGCGTAGAAGAAACAATTACGAGAGTTAAGCATAAACAGAAGCATAAAAAAAACGAATTCATGACTGTGGATAATTATCTGAAACAGGAAGTGGATGAAATGACAAATGTTTCATCCCCAATAGAAGTTACTATACTCCAGGCTCATAGAAATAATTTGGAGCAATCTAATCTCATGGAAAGCATGAACAAATGCAATGTTATGGAAACTCAAGAGAGGGGAAAACCGAATGAAAATGCCGTTACTAAAGAACCTATTGAAAATGACGTAATCTCAAAGAGTGTAATGAATAATGATTCAGCAAATTTAAACAATGTAGTGGAAACAATGGAAACACACGTTAAAGAATGGATAAGTAAGGTAGAGGAGGAAGAAGAAATTCCAGGTTATATTAATATTCCCAAAAAGAAATTCAAAGAAGGAATGATCTATCGCGTCAAAGATTGTTATTACGATGACGATGGGGAATTTTTATACAGAGTTCCTGGATTAGAAAATTAGTTGTACGCCACGCAGGCCCTGTGTATATATCATCGTGTGTATTCTATGTAATACTGTAATATGAGCTAATATCTAAAATAAATATTTTTAATTGACAGGAATTTTCGTTTAACGATTATTTGATATTTGTCAATCAACTTGTGTGGTATAAGATTATATGCCAACTATTGTCGACTCTGTTGATCGCTCGAGTGTTTTTTTTACATGGCTACGCTTGTTTTCGAAGAGGTTACTTAGACATTGCACCCACATTTCCCATTTTTACCCTTCATCTCGGCCCAATACATATAATCAATAAAAATTTGCAGAGTAAACTAGACTATATAATCATACAAAATAAATTGTCAAGTTGAAATAAGAAAAAATGAACGGACTTGTGACAACGTATCAGAAAGACTATGTGTGGCTGAATAAGAAGACAGGAATTAGTCGGGAAGATAGGTCGCAGCAGCCACAACTAACCTTGAATGTCCCTCAGTGTACTTGTAGGTGTGCCATCCCTGGGAAGGCCGGGAAGAATCTCTTAGATTCACAAGCTGGCGATTCGCACGAATGGAGTAGGCTGGGTCCAATGGGTTCACTCGTAGATCCAAAGCTGTACTCTGTAGATCAGGGAAAAGGAATCGAGAAGCTTGAGGATTCTATAATTTACTTGCAAAAGGTGTGGCTGTGGACAACACAAAAGCAATTGCTTTGAAATTTTTCAACGAATGTCCAGTGAGACGCTTATCGTTTGTTTAGCTTCAAGAAAATTATCCATATCTCTACGAAGTTATCGAGGGTTCATCTCGTAGCGAGAAGAGGAGGCGGATCGAAAGAGATCGTCTTCTGACCACTTATCAGGTTGATTACTGCGGTGCGGGAGAAGTTCCGTTTGGCGTCTCCGAATTTCCAAATGCTCTTCAGACAGAGGTTACTCCAGGTCAAAAAGTAGGAACAGCTGATTCTGGTTCCCGAAAAAAAATTCGGAGGAATAGCAATGAAGTCAAGTCCTCAAAACCTCGCCGAAAAGCCGACGTAGCAGCCGACGGTCCTGAAACAGGCATTCCTCCGTGGAGAAGCGAATATCAAGACGTAATTGGAAAAACAGGCCTAGCGATTATGAGATACAAGTTGCATCAGCACGGCGCCTCGTCCGTTGGAAAGAGTCGAGGAGCAAAGCGGTTGAAAAGGTGTCCCTGAAGAAGAGTTTCCGTCATTATGCCTTCAGAATCATCTTGACTCACAGTTGTTCCGACACTCTGGTACCCGTTATATTTTTGTTTTGTCTGTTTTAACCGACGGCATATTGAAGTGCGTCTTTGTTTCTTGCGTGAAGCCGTGTCGGCCTGTCAGCTGTCAAAATTGGTAGACGAGATCGCATCATTTTATTTTATAAATTTTCGTAGTACAGATGGATTGCATTTCTATCCTGTGAAGGATGACTTCCACGTCGGATCGTTTACGGACAACCAATAATCACACGAATGAGTAAGACTTTTGCATTTTCAGCTTTGCCACAAATTGTACATTAATATTTAACATTATTAAGATGGATAGCATCGGCTGTGACTACCGATAATCCTCGGAAAGCACAAACAGCAACGATACCGATAACGAACGATTCTTGGCAAGCTGAACCAGCTACGCCCTCGCTGCGTTACAGCATAGGAAGACCTAACCTTTTTCAGAGGACTGAACGTGCCAGTATCACGAAGCTCTCGGCTGGAAAAACTTCGGAGGACTCGACAGAAGCTGCTGGAAACACTATTGCAATGGTACACGTGCTTCCTACTTCTTATGTCGTCCTGACTTTCGATTTCAACCGTCATTCCCATCCTGTTCCAGGAAATGCCAGTGATTCACGAGCCACATGCAGTTCAACTGACTCCTTCGGTGCGTTCGCCGACTTACCAAGAAGATTACTGGAACAGGTTAGGAAACTTCGGAATGGCTGCAGTTCGTCGACTACCACGGTATCCCGAGGAAGACGCAGCCGTTGGTGTAAACATGTCCCAAGCGATGATCGCCATGCAAAAATTGCAAAAGTTGAAGGAACTTCAGAGAAAACGTGATCTCACGGAGAGATACTACTCCCAAGAGATCAGAAGGCTGATCGGTGATCATTACAATGGCTCTGGGTTGAGTCAGTTTAGAAAACCTGGGGAAGAGTGTCCGGTGCAACGAAAAAAGCAGCCTTGCGCCGAGGAACACGTGAAAGTGAACGTTTTAAAGGTAGAGTTAAGCGCGTAGAAGATGATACTCATGCCGGTGGACTGATTAATAGTGTTTGCTGAATTGTCATTCTCAATTGTCTAGACTGTCGAACCTTGTGGGACGATGACGACGATAACTCGACTGGATTGCGGCTGCGTTCAGGAAACGACTAGACCGATTTTTACGACTTCTCGAGGCAGAGTGCAGAAGAGAAATTGCGACGTTGCGCAGGACCCTGTTGTTCTAAAATTAACTTCCTCCAATCCTCAGGAACATCTTCACTCTCTGCTCGATACTTCCTCAAAGGGATTTCATGGCGCTTTCAAGGGCAGACGGAGTTCCTTAGTGGATTCCAGTATTTCCCCAAAGATCCCAGGTCATGATTATGACTCGGTGCCACATCGTATTTCTTCCCTTTCCTCGCCAAATACCTTAAGAAAACCGGAAATTCCGAAGAGATATTCGCCCCTGAATCTGACTCAGCCGCGGGGACATTCTCCACTTCGACGATTTAACGACGCCGACACGTCCTCTGATTCGCACTGAAGATTTTAATATTCTCAGATGTACTTTCGAATGAACCTTTCCTCTCTGTATATTCTAAAAATGAATTATTTCCTTTCTCTGCGACTGTCACTTGTTTTCCCAGACAATCACATTTTCGTCGACCAAATTCCTGTCAAGTCGTGTACATGCCTAACCGTTAAAAAATATCATTAAAAAAACTTCGTTTTCGAAAATGTCGAATCTAATTAATACATTCGTTACCGTAAATCATAATGACTTTACTTGGCCCTATCCGAAGCCATTACTCGCAAAACCAGCCCAACCACCGATGGATACCGGAATTCGTTTATATGCTCCCCGTCCCGATCCGGACGATTGCAATTGCAATGCCCATGGATTCAACAGTGATATAAATAAGTAAGACGAAGAAATAGTGAGATATTTTGTTCGGTTGAATATGGAATTTCATGAAATTCCTATTTATTATCTTTAGGTATAAGCAGCTAGCAGACAAGGAGCGAAAACTTCATGATAGCATTCTAGCGGTAAATCGTGACATGACGAATCTCACGGCCACGTTGATTGAGAGTCACTGTGACGTGGATGATGGAGTCATGAAAAGCGTTTATCAAACGGACTATGAAAAACGAGGTATTTCAGGCGAGGAAATGCGCTCCTTGAATTACAATAATTTCTTACCAATATTTCAGGCTTGCCAATTACTCGGTACAAACCACTAATGGCAGCTGTGGATTCGCTAATCAGGGCGCCAATATCGTCTGCCGTAACAGACCTCAGAAATGGATACAGGGATCCCACGAGATTTAGATATAGTGCCATTGAAAGGCCTACCATAGAGCCAGCCAAGAAAATCAACTTCGTCGAAGGTTAATAAGAGTGCAGATTTCACGCTAATTGAACAAAGCTAATAAACATATTACCTCAAACATTAATTTACAGTTCCAGAGACATTTGTTATGTGGGCAGAACCATTTACAGGACGTTCCGAATATATGGACACTATAAGCAAGATGGGCTTGAGTAATATTAAAAATCAGCAACAGTATCTCGAACCCATACCATCCTCCAGGCGAAGATTTGGTGATGGAAAACTGTGAAAGACAAAAGGAACGTATGCACATAGGCAAAGTACATCATAAGTAATAGTGATTGTAATTACTACGCATTATTCCCTCAGTTTCACTACCGCTAATTAAATAGCAGCTTAAAAAGACAATACTATAGATTCACGTAATAAAATTGTATTTAACGAACAATTACAGTCAAGAGGGTCAATTTATTATACTAATTACATTAATCATATGAGATAACGTAGAGTTATATATTCAAATTCGAAATAATTCAAATATGGCCGAATGGTTACCGACCGAACTGTCGGTAAATCAGACAAGTCCGACGGTAAAGAAGACGAGGGTTGGACGACGACGCAACGACGGATGACAGAGGAAATCATTCAGGAAGAATGCATTTGGATTACATACGAAGAATGAAAGGTAATATTTCATAATTTTCCAAAGTAGAATTCATTGCACAGAGAGTAAAATATATCGTAGGGAGTAATAAGTATAATGGACGAAATGGAAGTAATTGAAGGTAACTTTGCTGAAAGGCGTTCTTGTTCCTTTCTCCACGGGGTTTCTCGACAGCTGACAATATCATCGGTTCGTCCGCGCGTGTAATTACAAATAATAATCGATACAAAATTATATCCTCGGCCTCCTACTAAATCCGATCTCGTTTCATGACATTTCAAGTATCTAAGAGAATTGTGATTTCACATAAAATATATTTCGTCTTGGACAGGGTTAACGATAATCGCGGCGTCATTACTGATGGCTAGGTGCTTGGCTGCGCTTGGCATTATAGAAATACTCAGTCGGAACGACGATCGATTCACGGGTAAGGTCTTTGTTATTGTAGTAGCATGAAAATTGAATAGTCCTTGTCGATTGATCTGTTTCGCATCGTCAGAGTTAACGAGCGTTTCGGAAGCAACAGATCAGCCAACTTTTTGTAGATCGATTAAATTGTTTTGATATACTTGCTCTCTCTTCATTGTCCACCTTGTTATAAAATCCTCGTCTTGACGTTCTCTTTGGATTATTATACTCCTGTGAATGTAATTGCCTTAATTGTAAACTGCAAACGTATTATTCTCGTGTTTTGATTTTTCTTTCTATAGGAGGATGGATACGTGCGTGGTCTTTGATTACGAAGAAAAAAAATAGTGCGTAACATTCAGCTATGCATGCAACGGGGCCTTAAGTCCCATATGACGGTGACATGCGCGATTACATATGAATTAGCCGGACAACTGATAATCAGAGAATTTTCATTTTCTAATGTCAAGGGAAATCGGTGGCACCCATGTCCCAAGTATTGACCTACATGTATATTGGTAAGTTTCTAGTATGTATAATGCAAATACTTTTGAAGTGTCAATAGTCTGAAATTTCAATAGCTATCGAAGAGCAGCGAATGCTTTGGACCTAGGATCAAAAGAAGAAACGAAATGTGACGTGGAACTTGAGTTGTAAGAGACGAGGAGAGATCAAGAGAGAGATTTTAAACCGATTGCGTTCTAGTGGCGGATTCCAGCTCGTGAGGCCCCGTCCGAGGCTGGTGTCCGTCGTGTGTAAGACTCGGTAAGGCCCCTCGTAAGGGGAACCTGTAGAAGGGGTCGCCGACGTCTGAGGAAGGGATACGGACAGGCGAAAGGGAAATGCTGCGATCTTTTTTTGTTCGTGCCCCGTTTTTTGACTTGTCGATTCGATCGAGTTTCATTTGTCTTCGGCACTTCGAACACCGAGCAACACTGCTCCATTGCGAATTTCACGCAACCCGTGCAAAATGCACCACGCGAATCTTCATAAGACTTTTTAACGTTCCTCTCAACGTCCTGAAGTCTTTGGGAACACCAACAAAATCTTTTACTTTTGCCATTTCTTTTCCTGCTCTCCCGCTAACGTTCTCGTTCGCTTTGATATTCGTACGCGCGACTCTCATTAAAAATTTTCATCCGCGCAACAAGATTGTTTCATCTCGAAAACAAACAGCCACGATAAGAAAATCTGAGTGTGTCGCTGTGTTGTGATTTTCGTTAATCGACCACTGTGAAGTGCCGTCTGTGATGTCTGTCGGATTGGAATAAAAGGAGCTATCAGGTAAATCTACATACAGTCGACAGATCCCATAGACTTTTAGCATTTTCTCACTGACCATTAACTGTGCCATCCTTTCTTTCGTTAGAGTCCCGCGGCGATGACGGGGGAAAGGGGAATAAGGAAATTACTCAGTCTCGTTTCGTCTTTCCGGGTATATTTAATGGAGTTTGTAACAGCCGCGGAATGATAGCCCATAGGTAACTGGAATATTTGCCGGGGAGAACGGGATTAACTGACCGTTGCTTGTCGCGGTGGGCAACTTTCACGTGTCCGCCAGATGCTTCCACTATCCACCACCTTACGTAAAGCGACCCAGGCCCAACTTCTGGCTGTGTAAACATGTCCCTGCATTACCAACAGCAATCGATCGACCAATAGTCATGAAGTTACTATGTCACAGGTTACTAAGCTTTTCAAATTGCCAAATGTCCGCGGTATTGGGTAATGGATGACTGTTCGTTCCGATCAATTGTCCGTCTGGTCACTGAGCAAGATTTACGCCCGATCGGGTCCACAAAAAATGAATTATCACTTGATGTGGTTCCGTTGCTGCAATTTTATAGCTTTTCTTATGATGACGTGCATGAACTTTCACTGTGTCGATCAATAGAAGAAATAGGACAGTGCGTTCGCAAAGCTGCCAAATCTTTCGCTATCGGAGTAAATCACGGTATTCGTAGCGTGGGTAGAATCATGAATGGAGGATGAATCACGTGGAGTCTCGGTCGTGACGTCTCCCAGACTGAAGCCAGTCGTGGTTCCCGCGTCCCATGGAAGGATCTTGATCTTCCTATGGATCGGAGCATCACGATTCCACCATAGTCAATAGACGATAGATCCATGGATCACCTGCGGCGCGTGCCAGTGCCTACCGATCTTTTTTTATAACGCTTCAATTTGCTACAATTTATTTCGAGGGAGACACTCCCATCGGATTACGTCGATCGACATGGCCGATTTTTAACAGTTACCTTCTACCCGATTCTCCGATCGATTCAGCTGTCGATCAGTTTGCAGGTTTAGATCACCGTACGATCGCCTCAATCGACGTTACTGTGTCGAGTGCGTGGGCGCTGGCAAAAGTAAAAGTCAATAGTAGGAAAGTGCAATTCATAGATAAGCGACTGGTCCATTCCACGAATATCTTTGCATCAAGGAACGTTGACACCGATCTGCGGAATTAAATCGTAGGTCGGTCGAGGACTCGAGGTAAAGAGATGCGGACGGAGGCGAAGAAGTTGATTCGTTGATCTTGACTCGTTTTCTACGTTTGACTGCTCCTTATTTAATTATTACCTATTGCAGCCATAACATTTTTTGAGAGAACAACAAAAGCTTAGAATCAACGAAGAATGACTGCTTGAAGTTAACACATGCCCTTTGGTCCTTTTGCAGAATGGAGTGGAGGCTTTGGTGTTTCCCAGTAGTCCTTCTGCTGTTCGTCACAGCTGACGCACTTCGTGGACCCAGCGCCCAGGTAAGTCCCGCAGGAACAATTGGCACAATTCTGTACAATTGGCAAATAACGAAGGTGGAATTGACGGACGATTGCAGTTGTTCGCGAAAGTGAGAGAGAAGGGAAAACAGACAATTAGAACCCTATTAATGACGGTTTAATGAAAAGGAACCCATTTCGATCGGTCTGTCGTTCTGCACATTTCTCTTCATTTTCTTTCTTTGCTCTTGAACGGCACAAGCGAGAGCAACGATTTCCCTGGCGAAAACGGTGTCACGTCGACTAAGAACGGGACGGGAGGAGGCGTTCCCGTTCTACAGGACGTTCCAGAACCTCTCGGATATTAATTCCCAATAGATTAATCGGCGGTGCATCGCTGGAGATTTCCAAAGAATCATCCTGGACCACTCGGCAGGATCTTGCGATTCGCTTTACCTGCTTCAACGTCGGCGTCCGTACCGACGCGGACGCTGCCCGTGCAAAAGTTTACAAAAGTTTCAATTCGCTTTCTAGTAGCGACTGGATTTCCTTGCAGTTTCGTTGGCCTTGATAGGCGACAAGACATTTCACGAACTGGCAGCCTCAACGTGGCGCACGGTACCGCCGATTGGGACAAAGTGGAGAAAACAAAAATTACTAAATAAAACGGACGATTCGCTAAACGCGACACGCGCGACTTTGGGCACGTGATATTTCAAACTTTCATAAAAATTTTTATCTTCGACGAGATTTTTATGTGCCGCTGCCTTTTATTTTTACCAAAACAAAACTAAAAAAAAAGAACTCGTGGAGGATTTTTGAGAGGACCTTGAAAGTGAAAAAAGTAGCAAAAAGGTCAGACGCGTGCGCGAGATTGCATATCGCATCTGCAAGGCGTTGCTTTTGCACATGCGCCAGTCAAATCACGCGCCGCCACTTAGAGTCCTTATCCACTTTTTTTAATTATTTCAACTTCTTTTTTTTTTAATTTCTTTCGATGACTCAGCAATTAACAGTATCTCTTTATCACCCACTCTCCATATTAAGGATAGAAATGGTAAAGAATAACGGCGCGTCTTTCACTGCAAAGGTCAAACGAACTTGTTGGTATAGTCCTGACAAAAAATACGTTTCGTATCCGGCCGGTAATAGTCGGCACATTGGAGAGTCGCCATAAATCTTATGGCTCCATATTGCACTTTCTTCGATGAGATCTTCAGCCCTCCAGATTTCTCCAAAGGATGACACGCCTCTTCTACGCATTTTTTCTAATCGATATATCGCAACGTTCTACGCATGGAATGTTTACGTATTCCAGGCCTGATTTCGCGCATCTAATATTTGCAGCGCCCTGTACTTCTGCGTTCAGCATGCAATTCGTAATTGCAATCCTATTGGCATTTCCTACTTGATATCCTTACGGCGCATTTCTAGAGCGATTGTTTCCGTGGCTCGTGTTCCTTATGGACACGCCTAGTCGCGCGCCGATCCCTAGTTATATGTATAATGCATGTGCACCCTCTTTCAGTAAGGATATTTCCAATTACGTCATACGGCCTCTTTTACCTACCATCGCACTGTCCTACGATTTCTTGGATTTCTTATCTAAGAATTAATTGAGTATGGATGACGAGGCAGACAAATCCCGAGTATCGGCTTTCAGGATAACTTTCAGTCGGATATTTATATCCATTATGAGTCCCCGCGCTGGGGACTTATGTGTATCGTACTATGAGATCGTCAGGTGTCCTATTCGCTACAGCAAGACAGCAAGGGCTTCTCGTTTTACCGTAAAGCGGAACGACGAGTGGTCGTATAATATTCTCGTTGGGCTCACGTAGAGTAATTAAGAGGCAGCCTGATTGGTGAAGGGCCCCGGATCGACAGGAAGGTCGCGAACGTCGAGTGTCGCAACGACTCGCGGTTCGCTACGATATTTTTTAGTTTCAGGGAAATTCACGAAATTCTTTTCACTCTTTCTTTTTCATTGTCTCCTTCGTTTTTCATCGTACACTTTTTCCATGGGAAAGTTATACGAAGTTCCTGTCTCCGTGAACTGTCAGTCTTGCCGCACTATGGATATTAGAGAATGTCAATTTTCGACGGGTTATATCATCTGGAGGCTGCGAATTGACATTCGGTAGTGCTGAAACAAGATTGCTTCCGGGAATCTTCTAATTTATTGCTTAAAAGTGACCTTTTCGAGATAACGAGATTTCTAAATAAAAAGTTAACACCTTTTGGATTACTTCGATGGATTTTTATTTTGATTCACAGCGATCTGATATCTATGCATGATTAGTTGGGCGAGATGGAGGAAAAAAGAGAATTTTAATCCTTTCATAAAAGGCACTTATGTAGTTCAAGTAATGCATTTTTTCAGAGCGCTGCTGGCTTTTGTCGCGCACGTGTCGGTCTAGTTTTCATTAAAATATCAGGAAATCAAAGCGGTTAAATTAAAGCAATATCTCAATGGCAACGAAAAAGCACGGGTCACGTGTACATTGCAATTGGCATTCGATTCGGTAAAATGGCTGACCAAGACGATACCGATCTACTGCAGGTTTTGCTATAAGGTCGAAGAAATCGGAACGAAAGGAATGGAAATAAGAGAAAAAAGAAAGACCAATCAAGCAGACCAATCAGCAGCATGAGAAAATATAGAAGCGCCGCAAAACACTAAACGGCTTAATTGCCGCATCACATTCGACATTGCACAGTGGGAACGTCTGTTGAAATTACAAAGTGCAACGTGACTAATATGCACTTGTACATGTATATCTACCTGGCTGCCACCAAGACTGCACTCTCGATGCATTAATCGGCTAATGCAGTCGCGTGTATCGTTCAGCCTGCAATTCAAGTGCACCGTCAATTTAGCCTCGAACAATTGGACGCTCCTGTGCGTGCACGATGCACTCGCGCTGCGGCGAATTGAAAAATGCATCAGGAAGAAAAAAGCAGGAGAAAAAGCACAACGCGTCACGAACTCACAAGGAGCCACTTGGCATTTGCCACTTGCGTGAGATCGTTCAGGAATCCCTCGTAACACGCATTGGCAGTCCTGTTCAGGACAGGCAGGCAGCGGCTAAGAATTGCATCCGACGAATGCACCAACCTGATGCAATACCGGAGCAGTTCGATTAGGTGCAAAAAGAAACTCACCGATCTCTACCCATAAGGAGTTCGTAATCTTTGCTCCATATGCATTTAATCCACTCGATATTTCCTGATCAGACGAATCAGCAATACGATTTCCTACGAATTTTGGCTAAATACAAAAATGACTTCTATACTTACTTTCTTTCTAAACCGCTACTCGTTACGTAAAGTCACGTAGAAATTGACAATGCACAGAAACCCGATTGCAGAAGCTCGACTAGACGGCACGACATACCGTTATACGATACGGTTAAACCAGTTGCATTTATATTCGAGATCGCCTGCTGCACCGGATTGCATCGGCTAACCGACCGCATCGTGGAATCAGGTGCAACGTCCAAGGTTACCCTCTTGACTGACTGTCATATCAACTGTCGCAGGACTGCTGGCGCTCGGCAAGAGTCATTTGCCCGGAAGTTCTCAGGATTTCAATGGCCAATCGCACCGAATGGTCACCAAGGGGGTCCTAAAAATTATATAAATTTATTAATCTGCTCGACTAAAGATTAACTATATTCGAGATTAATTCTAGGATGCAGACTGCACGGTTGCGCAGCGACCCAGATGCGTTTCGGAATCTATTACGTATCGGGAGAGCGCCACTCGAACCCATTTATTTAAATGACTCTGGTAATTGTCAGGATTCGTTAGAAGCGACGGATTCCGCTCACGTTACGGATTACATATTGAGATTGATTGAAATTATTACTCAAAGCAGACGTCCTCCAAGAGCGACTGCGTTTTGCCTCGCTATTCGGTGCAAGGTCGATGGGCTTTTTCTTAACTTTTCAATCGCGCCGCTTATAAATATCCACACTCGAAAACTCGGGCGCCACGTATACTTTGTACAGCCCTGCGAGGATCTGTTTCCTCTTCTCCTCCTTTGTTTTCGGCCAGTAATTTCAATAATTATCTTAGATTGGGTCGTTTTTGAAAAATTAAGCAGGACACGTGATTGGCCAACGGGCAATAATTGTTGACTTCAAAGTCCTTGCACTGGACGACTCTTCCTTGCGAAACTTTACATTCCATAAGTACATAGATATATGTGTATTCAAAGACTGGCGCTCATAGTCGAATACAGACGCTGCGATCTGTGATCCGCAGTCGGTGATACGCTCGTCGTTGCTTATGAGTTACAGGTGTAATTCTACGTCTGACTATCCACTGTCCGTTACCACTACGAGTCTACCTGCGCTACCGTATCAGCGCGGCAAAGGGATTGCATCATTTGAGCTATTACAGAACACCAGGTCGATCCATTTTGACATTTACTAGCCCGAAGCGCGTCCTGGAGTTTGCAAGCTACAATTTATGCTAGTTGTTATTTGAATTTTTTTTAAATAATTACGACACGAATTTACATGACTGCCCAGTCTGGACGTTTATGAATATTTGATGAAAAATTGTATGAAAAATTATCCTCAATTTACCAGAAGGGAAAACGATCCTTGATACCCTGTAATTTCGATTCTCCTGTGCCGATTCGTCCTACCGTGCCGGGTGTTGTTGATTCCTTATCGATCTCAGATGTTTTCAGAATTTCAATGGAGGCCAATTCGTCATGTTGTTACACCTGATAGAAACGAATCTATTATGTCCTAATCGTGTCGCAACAGCGAAGAAGATCGCGGCTCAAGATCGGCATTACGCTTCCCCTCTCGGACTCCTTTGAAATAGCCTAACAAAACGCAATTAAGGTCGGCCGTCGGCATTTTGAGTAAGACCGTTCCTGTCCCAGTTACATCTCTAAGAATCCTCGTCCTTCGTGTCCCACGTGTTCAGATGATGTCAAGATTCTACGAGATAGCGCATGTACTTACCTATATAGACTTGACAGATCTAAAGTGACCTTTAAGGTCGGCCGACGAAGAAGATGGGAATTCGTCTTTGAATTGCGGCGAGGCCTGAAAAGTTTTGGAAAATGAAATGCGAAGTTTATGGAATTTTAGTGCGAAAGCTTAATCGCACGAAATTTCTTTATTTCTTGAGAGAGTTAATTTTTTTTTTTTTTTTACAATAAATTTGTTTACGTCAAACAATGTTCCAGGACTTGACAGTCGACGAACGTCATTCATTCATACGTATATGGTCCATATTTACTTCTGAAAGCAACGATCGGCCGATTATCTTGCTTCACTGAGCCACATCCGTATGGATCACACATGGAGATAACGATCTCGTGAATTCGATTTAGCCCGGCAAGAAATTCTCGCTGAGCAGTTCGACTTGAATTCTCCTACCGATCAACCAGAAATATCAATCCCACCCAAGCGACACGCGTTCCTGTCGCCAATTTACTCGTGTGACCTTCGTTTCTACGGATTTCACATTTTTCGGAATCAATTTCAAACTAGCCGCTCCGATAAATAGCACGGCAACTTACGTATCGAGATTTTTGATATTTGCTGCAGAGCATAATTAGTCCGTGGTTACGTGAGAACTGGACGTGCAAGAAGACGAGCGTCGAGACGTTCTCTCGCCTGGAGCGTCGGGGTAGAAAGTTGAGCCGATACGTCGAGAAGGGCAAATCGGTTCAAAACAATTGCGTCACAAAGTGCGAACGGGAATCTCTAACATACGTGAGCCACGACGTGGGATTTCGCTTCCTGGAAATATTCAATATTTTGTTTTTTCAAAATTGCCCACGCGTTTTCTTAGCCAAAAAATTTCTTCGTGTCCAGTATGGCGGACGGGTTTCTCGCTCGGGGAAGATTTTGAGTGATTTTAAGAAAAAGAAATTCTCTCTACACTCGATGTGCCATATGCATATGCGAGGTATACTATGCATTTTGTGTATAGTGCGAGCAGCCGAACCGTCTGTATTCGTGAAAGGAAATACACGGACGCACTTTTGGCCATACCTGAGACGCCACGCCCCGGCTAAAGGAAACGAGTCTTTTTAGGTCAGCGTCACGTTTCGATTTTGCAAGACGGCAATAATGCGTCTGCATCGAGTCCAGACCTTAAAATTCATTTCACTTTTTAATTTTTACAGACCGAGCAGCCCGTCTTAACCTCAGCGACGTCCGCCTGCTCGTCCGACCTAAAGACTAGCTCGTACCGACTGCCGACCAGCCGATCCGGCTGCGAGCTCGTTGTGAGTCGCAACAAGCAATTGGACTTTTGGCGATCGTGCTTCCTGGCCGAGAGGCCGGACGGGAAAGTCTTCGATTTTTCTCTATCGAGTTATTTAAAAAATCCCAGCACGATCGGTTCGATCGGGTTTACGTAATATATTCGTGATTCGAAATTCGATCCTGGAGGTCCGCGTGCGTGAGATTTCGATTAGGGTAGGTGCTGGAACGTTTTCATAGATGTTTCGAACGTTTCCTTTGCCTTTGTACAAGGTGAAAGATCTGCAGTGTCCTGGAGAGAGAAAGACGGAGAAAAAATTAAAGAGATCGGCAAAAAATCGAACGAAGATCAGTCGGTAAATGTTCAACTTTCTAGATTGTTTTCTTTTTTAATCGTCTTTTTCCTTTTGTTTTTTTTTTTTTTATACAACACGCAGGAGAAAAATTCGTTGCTCCGACGAAGACCCTTAATTCCTGAACGTCCAGCGATCTGCCGATTTTAAATCGATCGGAACTATAAGCACGCATTAAAACATAATCCACGGATTTCCAGGTCTCTGTCTGCGTCAAGGTTGATCCAATCAGATTTGGGCATTTGATAATGCTCTAATTTTTTGTTATGCTCGATCAAGTACGCAATACCTATCCATGAGAATGTGGTTGCGTGCTAGATCCGTCACTGGGATTATGAGCCATGATACTCTTTCGATCGTGAAATAGTATCGCGACAGTCGATGCCCTTCGAATTGTCAAAATGTAAACGGAATTCCCGTTGAGGAGTCGTCGCAATGTAAAATTTCAATTGTTTCCTTGCCCCGTACCCATCTTCAGTTTTCGCCTCTAAAACTTCGCCGGATTTAAGTGCAACGCACGTTGCATCGATGTCTCGATTCTTTTTCTTAAGATTCGGTTGACCGATGACCTTCGACAGTTCCCGTCGGAAAGTTGGAGAAGGTCGAATTTAACGATTCGATCGGCATAAGGAGGCTGTAGCATTTCGTTGCTTCAAGTCTAAGGTCGGCGGGAGTCATTACAAAATAGAGCGTTTAAGGCCGATAATCGAGCCTGCCAGGGGGGAAAATTTGATGAATTTGCCACATAAAAAGCGACAACACTCTTATACATAGACAGCAACGGAAAGTCGTCCACCTTCGTGGAAGGGAACCTCTCACTGGCTGCAGTCCAGTGCAACCAGCTGTAGCTGCACTTTATCCGCATCCAAGAATCATGGCGGAAAGCTCAAGCGTGCGTGAGGCCTCGGGAAATCAATGGTCGGCCGCGATGTCTCATGGGCGTAACTGGGTGCCAGTGCGAACTAGAGAAAGAGGAAGAATGATAAAAGGACGAAGAGAAAAAAGAAAAACGACGAAGGCGACACGTCGCAGCCTGAAACCCGAGGTCGACACAGCCTGCACCGTTCCAGTGGATTCCTTTTATAACATAATCGACATAATCCACTAATCAATTCCAGACGTTACGAGACCGATGAAAGCTGCTGCTTCTTATTGCCGATACAGTCGCTGCCAAATTTCCACGTAACTCCCGAGCCAAGTCGAGAGCCATGATTTCTGGAGAAAATCGGTAAACTTCAATGCTACGTTCGACGCGTTCGTAGAAATTGGACAAAGTGCTCGGCGAGTTTAGCCAGACGGCAAATGGAATCGCGGTTAGCAGGATTTCTGTCCGGTAAACGTGACGCGAAACACCACCCACTTTTACTTTCAGAATCGATTGTGTACACTGGAGACAACGATACGCGACTGAACTGGAGCACGTTAAGTACCAAGTTTACGGAGCGCGGAATCAGCGTCCGTTTGACTTACGTATTTCAGAGCGAAGAGACCTAACCTACAAAACTCCACTTTTTCTCGGGTCTTCGTTCGGCTAAGCTTAATCGTATCTCTCGAAGATTGAAAATTCCTTGAGAGCCCTTCTTCCGTATGACCAAGTGCCTCTAACAAAGTACCCCGCTAGAAAGGGACTAGGCGACCATTTGAAAGTGCCTGCTGCGCCCCGGGGCCACGTGGACTGCGCTTAAGGCGGAATTAACAAAGTTGCCGCCTGACGCGGCACCCACCAGTCCACCTCTTGCACCATATGTGCTTCCAATACTCGATCGTGTTCAAAGAAACGATCTGGGTAGCCGAACTCTGCTGCGCATAACCGCTCGGCAATGCAGTAGCGTAATGTTTGCTTTTACAAATCACCCAAACTCCACGCTCTGTTCCTTTCAGCTAAATAATGAATATCAAAAAGAAATTACTTCGGCAAACGAACAGACGTTCGCGTCGCTTAATACTTTCTTAATGACGAACACGCGTACATACCTGTGAACCGGGCTTTGTAAATTACCTTTGCCCCAATAATCTAACTTTCGATCGACAGTCGGACGATATAAGCTGCCGGAAGTCGCTTTTCTCTTCCAATTAAAATTTAATCTATGCATATTCCTCCGTGTACCTCTGTGTGTATGTATTTTTTATTTTAGCTAAAAAAAAGTAATTCCGAAGCTAACTTTTGTCCCATTGAAGTTTATCGTGAAGATATAGCCATAAACGTAAAATTATGAATTCGATTGATCGGTATCGATGGTAATACTGAAAAACAGCTGACGATTACTCGTATCACTCGAACAATTCGTATGACAGTTTGTCATTATTGAATCAAGGTCGACAGTCCTCCCTTCGAAACCTGATCTCTCTGTTATCTGGTTTTCTCGGTCCAGCCATTCTCCCGCCTAAGCCTAAATCTTTTCTACTGAGTCTGACTCACCGAGAAACGTATCTGTCGTTGGCAGGACCCGCGTTTGCTTGCTTCCGTCGTACTGACACGCTTAAGGATTAATAACGTAGCGCCCGTAAGGAGATGGAAGCGCGGCTCAAATGATTGATATATGGAGGAAAATTATTGACGAGTATAACGTGTGATTAATCCTTAGTAGGAATAAGACGAAGTTGGTTGTACAATTAGTCTAATCTATGTAAGGATTATCTGGTATCTACGCGAAAGATGTAATTAAGAAAAAGAAAATTAAAAATTTTGAATGATTCTTTCGAATAGTTCCTTTTTTTATTTATGTATATCTTCCCGTTACGGCCTTCGCGTTTCACGTAATTGTCTTCTAACGTATCCATCGTAATGCTATGTCGGTTGAAAATAAAAAAAATTGCGAATTATAAATTTCTCGCTTGCACTTTCGCAACTGCCCAGTGCAACCTGTGAGCTAAGCACAGCGTTGCAAGTTGTCAGGCCGATCCAATGACTGACTAAATAATAGGCTGTCGGAAGAAAAAAGATCGATAAAAAAATAAAAACATTTAAAATCTGCAACCGCGACTGCCGCCGTTTAATTGTCAGTATGATCTGCAGTCAAGTAAGAAAATATTGCAAGATACTTTTTATGGGATTTCAAGTATATGCATATACGTGGCTAAACGTGCAGTCCAATGCACATAGGACTAACCAAGGAGCCTCCACACTCCTCCTGCTCGAATCAGGCTTCGTTTACTCGATTTACATGCAGCGTATTCGAATGAACTCGGTCGGATGAGATTTATTGTAAATATGCAACGGAGCTGAGAGTACGTCTGGCAACGTTGCTCAGTACTTTATTTCCTAGGGCGGTTTTCTCAAACTGAGATTTAGCTGGCAGTCGATGCCGGTCAGGCGAATATCCATTAGAACGGCTAATGAGCTGCAACTGGATGACCCAATGACGAGGAATCTCCGGGCGGTGGATTAAGTTAAGGAGCAATAAACTTCCCACGGAATCTCATGAATTATTTTCATCACGAACCAGCACTTTTGACTTGTTGCTCCTCAGGTGGGCGTGGCCATCGGGCTATTACGTATTTGCACGTGTTCACCACACACTCGAATCCTGTTACGCTTAATCCTTCGCACCGGTTCCTGCTTATCCTTTTTCCCTCTGGTATCTTTCTTCGAAGCATTGCGCATTCCTGCCACTCGAAATTGGGCCGATTTTGCACTCTTCGAGGACGCAGGATTGGCAAATCCTTACAGTCCCCGTGTAAGACAGGCGTCGCCATTAATCCCACGTGTGCCGAATTTAGAATCTGCTCTTTACGCGGGAATTTTTCGAAATCTCAACTAATCGCTCCAGTTCCTGTCGCCCGAAGTGTTTTTTAAAGGCATCGAACTGAACGATCAGTCAAAATTAGCGTAAAGACAGAGAAAAAGAGGAGAAGGAAGTAGCAAGAACCGTGGTAAATGTCAATGCTGCGAGGTCGCCTGTATACATATGCATCGCTTGCTATGAATTCCTGTACACGTCCAGTAGGCAAAAAAGAGATAACCACTTATAACTGTATGGTAAAAAACGATAAAATAAGAAAGGAGGATAAAATTGATATTTATTCCTATCGAGTTTTTGAACTATGCAAATGCATCGAAAAATCTTGTTCACCTTGTACAGTGATATAAAGGCTAGTCGCTTAAGTGGAGCGCCTCGTTATGTTATGGGCATCCACTTTTATCTCCAGTTACAAAATAAAGCAACGCAAACGATGTAGCTGAATTCGTGGATCGTATACAGGATATTTACCTGTCTACCTACCTTCTTACAAGCTATTCGACCACCTACCGGTCCTTCAGGTTTTTACAACACACAGTCTGACGACTTTGTAGGCCATTAGAATAATAAATATGCCCCCAATAAATCTCATGTGGAATCTAATAGCCGGATATCAAAATTCATAAATTTTCATGCGTGTCCGATCAACTAATGAGATCGATCAGAGAATTTATGAGTTTCCGAAAACGACTTTGAAGATTGTATATCCTAATGGTTGTTTAAGGAATTAAATATTGGGTATTTGATTTCAGGGGGATGATCGGAAAAGTCCGGTAGGCAGGAGTCGCGGGAGTTCCAGATTTGAATCTGGAAATGTTCAGGAAAGCGAAAGTACTCGGCCGACGTCAAAGAGCCGGCCTAGTCCGAGAATTACATCTTCCAGGAGAGGACTCAGGATACAGAATAATGGAGAATTGGCGAATCCGACGATGCAGGCTGAGCAGGATGTTGTTCAGGAAGCAGCAAGTACTAGATCCACCGTGCAGAGAAGAAGAACGCATTTGGGAAACGTAGAAAGTTCTAGGCCGGAAGTGAACTCTGCACCGGAAGTTCGGAGAAGGAGTTCCTCTAGAAGACAAACCTCGGAGGAGAAAGTTCCTCGAGTAAAACAGGACACAAAGAACAATGAGGAGAGAAAATACCTTCCCGAGTCGGATGCTGACACTAGATCGATTAAAATCGATTCGATAGTCGATCTCGACTTACCAAAACTCAGTCCGAATATTCGCACCGGAAGGGACTCGTCCAGAGGGAAACCGGAAGCTACTACGGATAGACTGGACAAGACTGGACCTTCGGTCTTCTCCGGCGGAGTCGAGTACTCTCGTTCGAGAACCGGAAGGAAGATTCAGACTTCGTACTCTCCTAAAGATCTGGAACTTCCTGTTTCAGGTAAATTTTCACGAAGACGAAATGCCGAAACAACCACCGCCACGTCCAACAGAAGAAACCAGAGTAATTCGAGGTCCAGCGGTAGACGTGAAAATGTTCAGACAAGAATCAGAAATTTTAATCCATCTGTAATGCAAAGGAGACAGGATACAGCATCTTCCGAATCTGAAAGTATCAGAGTCGATATACCTCTGAGTGTTGAGATCACTGAAATACCCTCCGACCCTGTTTCATCAACTGTGACTGCTTCAAGAACCGAGTCCAGGAGAGTCGGTGCTACTTCAGGTAGGACTCGAGGGAGATCTACTTCCGGTACTGAAAATAAAATCACCGAGAGTACCACTTCAGGATCCAGAGGACATTCTCGAAGAGGATCCTCGAGATTCGCGGAGCCAACTTTGGACACAACCGAGCGCGGCAGTACCACAAGCGTCAGGACTATTGTCAATAGGAATTCCGAGTATCTTCTACGATCCAGAAGTCCTGAGACGAAATCCAGGAACACGGAGAAGACCGAATCTAGGACAAGATCCAGAAATAGGGGCGCCGACTCCACACTGGGGATCCTTGAAAACTCATCCATACAACCGGAACTCATAAAAACCACAACGTCCAGTGCAAAAACTGAGCCTGAACGAAGATCTAGAGCACCGGAAATCCGATCTAGGAACCAAGCCGACGCTAAGACCGTGGTGCAGGATGTGCGAGGACGAGCCAGAGGAAGATCCAAAATAGAAACAACGAATAAATCCGTACCGGAAATCATTATAACTACTACTACCGAAGAAACTCCCACAGTCCCGGAAACTCTAACAAATTTAGTTACGGTACAGGAAATTCTATCAACGACTTCACAGTCAGCGTCGTCTGTAGAGACAACAACTGAAGTCAGTACAGCAACCAGAGCAACTTCTAGAGGAAGAGGTCGCAAGACTCTGCAAGACCGGAAGTTACCCACAGAAGACATCATCAATAATAACTTAGGTTTCAGAGGTAGATCATCATCGGTGACGGATCCTACAACTACGGCGCGATCCAATACTGCTCGAAGGAGCAAGACTACTTCCGGATCATCGAAACCGGAAACACTTCCCATAGAAAATCCAGGAAGGACTGCTCTTAGGAGACGTCCTAGTCACATAAAAGATCCAGTATTAGAAAGTACCACATCGACGACTTCCACTTCGACGACTGAGCAACCAACGACTCAGCCTGTCGAAATTATTTCCAAGACTTTTGAAAGCACAACTTCCGGTTTCGTTGAGGTGGTCACCTCAACGAAAGGACCTATCAGACGTGGATTCAAGAGACTAAATATCCGTCCCAAGGACGAAAAGGAAGAGCTCAGTACATCCTCTAGTATAAAGTCTTCGGAGTCGGTGAATAAATCAGGAAGAAGAGGAAGCAAATCTTCCAGGAAAACAGGAAGTGGACAAAACGGCGGTAAAAGTGAGAAAGCTGAAGCCGAGGAGAGTGACAATTATCCTGCGGATTTCAAGGCGAGACTAGCTCAATTGGTAAGTCCAAATTTCTAATTCCAGTTGACATATATATTTTTCTATCAAGTGGTTATAGTTCTCCCAAACGTGGCGCAACTAACAGAAATACAAGGCTACGCGATAATAAAGTTAGATTAAGCTTGCGGACTTACAGGCATGCAGAGTGCTCACTCTACTAACGTCTTTTCATATTGTCAATTCCATTAGCAAATCTATTATATTAATCTTCTTTATATCCAGCCACACTATTCTGACCTATGATATAATCAGTCATGCTGGATTCAACAACCAGAGTGTGAAATGTACTTCAAGATTTGCTCAATTCATTTCATGGGTTTCATACATATGTATACATTGGTTCGTACACCAGAAGCTCTGTAGGTTGGCGCCAGGATTAAATTAATATTTTTTTAAAATTGACTCCACCCGTTAGGACCATACGGCTTACCACATACGGCCTTGCAGCACGAGATACATCTATCATCTTTATGCATAAAATTTATTTGTCACAGAAAAGCAAGGAGAACAAACCGGTCGGTTCAAAAACCACCGCCAGGCCTGGAGTACAGGTGAGTTCACAGATACTCCGCAGCAACGGCTATGCTTGACGTGCGGCTCGAGTTTCACCACGTTAAAAAATCAATCGTGTACATAACGAATAATTACGAGTAACACTCGCAGACTGTTTAATTAGCACAATTACACTAATTACACTATTGCACAACCGCCGCTTTGAATAATCGGTATGTACATACTATATTATACACATTGAGTATAAAAATGGCCGTCGGGATATCCGCCCACGTGCAGCGTCCTAAAAAAAATTGGATTCTCACGAGAAACGACAAGATGCATCCCAATTAATCCTCACTGGATTTCACGTGTACGTAGGACCGGCTGAAGAAGCTGCTCGATCGACGCTTTAACATCGAGGCGTCGCGACGTCCCCAACCCTCGGAGGATACTGGTGACCTCACCGTTGCCGCGTCCGAATACTTGCCCCCCGCTGATTTGACTGTCGTACCGATAAACACAACGCCCTTATCGACAACACCCGTTATGGATATGGATAAGAATTTTATGATCCATACATTTCACGTAAGAGATACAACCATAGATCAAATCAATCTTTTCGTGGTTTATCTGTCCTGTCTCCATTAGTAGATTCTCCAGGTGGCTAGGGTTATCCAATGGTGAAATTTGGTCTGTCACTTTGTTTTTTTTTTTTTTTTTTGGG